GAACAGTGAGCGCTGCTCCGGCCGCTGTCTACTGGAATGTCCGGTCCCGCTCGGCCCGGTCGCTGCCACCTGAACTGCAACCACTGCCCTACCACGGCGTCCCCTTCCGCTTGCTCTGGCAGCGGACTGGAGCCATTTTAAGTAGAAACCACCCGGCCACGCCCCCTCGCGCTCCCAAGAAGCCAATCCACGCGCGGCCACGCCCCGCGCGACGCGCGGCGACGACGCCAACGGTCGCGCAAGTGACGGTTGGGAAGGGGCGTGATTCCGAGGAAAGCGGGGAAACCTGAGCCGCCCACCCCGCCCTTGCAACCTGACGCCCCGAAGCCGGGATTAGAGGCGCGGAGGCTGGCTCCACGCCCTGGCCAGGTGTGCGGGACTCGGCCAGGTGCGCGGCCGCCCCGCCCCTGGCCCGGGAGCCCTGCGTGCTGGCTGAGAGGCGGGGGCCATGCCAAGGCTGGGACCCAGGCAGTGCCCTGAGGTCGGTTCCGCCGCCAGGTGTCTGGCTCCCTCAGGACTCTCTGCGGGGGCCCAGGGTGGGGCGGGCGGCAGGTGCGGACACCCGACCCGCGCTGGGGGCCGCGGCCTCCTGGGACAGGTGGCACGGGCGCGCCCTCTAGCTCTCTAGCGCTGGGCCGGCCGAGCTGCGCGGCGCCCTCCGGGACGCAGGGGGCGCTGTGTTCGCGCCGGGCTGGGCTCCGCCACGACCTCGCTGACCCCGCGCGCTGGTTCCCCATGGCCGCCGCGTTTGTGCTTCGCGGTCNTCTGTACCGAGCAGGACCTGCACTCCGCCGTCCGCCAGCGGAGCTGCTGCGGTGAGTCCGGTCCCCGCGTCCCTCACCACTCCACCCCTGCGGCTCCGCACCTGCTGTCTCCTAGACCCTAACCGTGCCCCTCCGCAGGGCCCCACGGCGTGGGCACCGGCTCACGCCGGCCGACGATGAACTGTATCAGCGGACGAGCATCTCGCTGCTGCAACGCGAGGCCCCGCACGCCATGTACATCGACAGCTACAGCAGCCGCGGCTTCGTGGTCAACGGAAATCGCGTGTTTGGGCCGTGCGCGCTGCTCCCGCACTCAGTGCTGCAGTGGAACGTGAGCCCTTCCCTGCAGGGAGGAAGCTGAGGGCCAGAGCCCCAGCCTAACCCGATCCTGTCCCGGCAACCTTGGCTTTTCCGTGGCCCTGGTGTGGTCTATGGGGAAAGCTGCGTGGATTTGGCGTCTTTAACCTGCCTCCTCCCCATACAGGTAGGATCCCACCAGGACATCACGGAAGAAAGCTTCTCTCTTTTTTGGATGCTGGAGCCCCGAATAGGTATTGGGGGAGGGAAGGGCAGAGGGGTTTCCAGCCCCCGGAAGCCCCCCCCCCATCCGCAGACCTGGTTGTAGACGGGCCGTGCCCATCCTTCCCTAGAGATTGTTGTGGTGGGCACTGGAGACCGGACTGAGCGGCTGCAGCCCCAGGTGCTGCGAGCCATGAGGCAGCGGGGAATCGCTGTGGAAGTGCAGGACACGGTCAGTCCTGGGACTGGGGAGCGCTGAGGGGAGCCCAGGCCTAGCCCAGGCTCAGCTGATGCTGGCTTTCTCTTTGCAGCCCAATGCTTGTGCCACTTTCAACTTCCTGTGTCATGAAGGCCGGGTGACAGGAGCTGCTCTCATCCCCCCACCTGGAGGGACTGCAGTCACACCTCTGACTCAAGCTGCAGAGTGAAGCACCAGGAACTGACCTGACCTTTCCAGTAGGGCCCTGACACCTTCTGCAGAGTGCAGGGGTTCCCAATGCTTTCACGAGCCCCTCCCCCGTGGCACTGTAACACTTGTTTTGCTTACCAGCAAATTAATAATTTAATCTACTTCTACCATTTTGTACTAGGTGCATTGCTGGCCAGGGGCTGCTCGCTCTGGCTTCTTGGTGAGGGTTATGAAGAAACCAAGGAGTCATCTTTTTATCTAGACTGTATAGCCCATCAGAGGCCAGGAGGCAGTATATACACTCATTCCAAACTGCAGATGTCTGCTTGCTCACATGCACATACAGGGCGGTCTCAATTCTTTTTCCACAAGGTTCTTTAGAGATTCAAGTTAGAGATCATTTATGAGGGTCTCCACCTGGTCCCATGTGGCCAAGCTTTGGGCTAGCAGGAGGCCCTGTGGACGTTAGTCCAAAGCCCCATGGACTGTACCCCTCCTAAGCAGCCAGTCAGAATCTGTTATCCAACCCTTGACCCTTGGGAGCCCTAGCTGGTCAGGGCTGGCTTGTGAGCTGCCTCAGGAGGGATTTTTTGAATATGGAACTACTACCCCCTTAACAGGTCCATGGAGCACCCTTACCTCAGGGCCTGAGGCTTTCCCTGGAAATGAGGGTGTTGTGTTTGTGTGCATGCGTGATGTGGCAGCTGCAGAGTCCCACCTGCCTGTTGACCTCAAAGATCAGGCATCACTTTTTTCAAACTTTTATTGAAAAACCAAGGGGTTATGCTGTAATCCCTTTTCAGAAAAGCCGCTTCTCATACCTGTAGGCGGAAGGACCAGCTGTGAGGTAAGGGCAGCAGGCATGGCAGAGACCTCCACACCAAGGATAGGAGTAGGAAAGGGTTGGTCACTTACGAATGCAGGCTGTGGACGCCACCTTCCACCTGAGCTGAGGACGTTCTCTTCTCAAACTTGAGCTCCCCAGAATACATCATGGCTCTGAAAAGGGGCAGATGTCAGATGTGGGTAGCTGGCCTTGGATGAGCCTCTCTACCCATGTCCAAGCTTCCCACGCTTACCTGACTTGGGTCAAACTCTTGGCACCAATGTCCTGGCAGGAGTGTTGGATGCCGGCGATCAGGTAGGGGACAAATTTGTGGATGGACCCTTTATCCTGCACAGCCCCAGATACCCCCTGGGCCACCTTGATTTTGTCAGCTTCACTGCAGGGAGAGGCAAGAGACATGGACAAGGTCAAAGCACAGACGAAGTGGTCAGCGCAGGGCTGGCATAAGGTAACTGATCTTTCTGTCCCACCTGAAATATCGGTTCTGGCTGCTGAGATGCTTGTCCATGGCGTCGAGAGAGCCCATACCACGGTATTTCTTTAGCCGGATTCCATCGGAGAAGAAGTACTCACCAGGGGCCTCAGTGGTAGCAGCCAGGAGGGAGCCCATCATGACTATGGACAGATGTAATGCTGGGGGCAGACCCTGAATGGCAATGGGGAAGGAGTCCCACCAGGCTCCCTAGGTGCTGGGCCTCACCTGTGGAGGCCCCAAGGGCCAAGGCTTTGGCGATATGGCCCACATTTTGGATTCCTCCATCAGCGATGACAGGAACACCAAAGCGCCGTGCATATTCTGATACCTTGTACACTGCTGTTGCTTGGGGCCGCCCACAGGCCAGCACTGTTAAAAGATGGAGGAATAGATGGGTGGGTGGAGGCAAGGGGCCCTGTGGCCACAGCTCTGCACCCAGGAGCTTTCAGCTACACCTGCACCGGGACTGTAGCCTGGCTGAGGACAAGTCATGTCTGGGACAGCTGCCCCATCTGCTTTGAACAGTACAAACAGCTGTGATGGCCACCACTCACCCGTGTGTTCACGTGCATGTGTGCATGGCCCAGGGCAGCCTCAGGCACATGCAGTCAGCAGCCGGGAAAGCCCCACCCAACTGGTATCAGGTGGGGTAGGGTCACTGTGGTTAGTACCCAGAGGCCCACCCCTTCCTACATGGTGGGCAGCTCAGGCAAGATCAGGGTAGTGGTTGTGTGGAAGGAAAAGTGTGCTCCAGAGTTGGTCCCTGAGCTGTGCCCTACTGCAGGAGATGTGGACAGAGCAGGGCCCATCTGAGGAAGGAGGTCCTGCCCAGTAAGCACCCCAGGAATAAGAGGGAGCTGTGTTTTCAAGCAGCCCCCAAAACCATGGTCTGTCATTCAGTCTGCCCTGCCCACCCATCAGCACCACAAACCCCGGGAGCTACAGCTACAGTCAACCAAGCAGCCGGGCAGTGGGCAGCTGGGCCGGGCCAGTGGGCCGGGCCGGACTTACTATAGCAGCCCGTGACAGTAGAAGGGCATTTGGGGCTGTGGGACTTTATGTCTGGAGGGATCTTGGGAGCTGCTAAATAAAACAAACAGACCAGAGTTTAGAGAGGGCGCAGAGCAGGAGCAAGGAGGCCAGGCTAGGCAGGGGGGAGTGGCAAGTGAGGAAAGACGAGAGCTCGTCTTGCTTCCAGCATGTCACCCATCCAAGGGGCCTGTTTGGCCCTGGGGCTGCCCCTACTGGAGGACTCATTGTAGTTCCCATGAGAGCACTTAGCTCCAGGGCATGTGGAGCTAAGGGTCCTGCCAAAGCATCTTACCTTCCTGGGTGATGCAGATGGAGCCACTGCCCATGCCCACCCGCAGGGCATCTACACCAGCATCAATGAGATTCTTGGCCTGAGCAGCTGTTACCACTGCAATGAACAGAGGAAGACTCAAGTGAAGGTCTAGGTGGAAGCCTAGCTTCCCTACTCTGGCCCCACATCCTCAGTGCCCAGTTAGGCCTCACCATTGCCTCCGATGACTTGGAGACTGGGGTATTTATCTTTGATGTACTTGATCATGTTAATCTGGAAGATGGAGTTTCCCTGAGAAGAGTCCTGGAACAGAGGAAGTCCCAGTGAGCTGGGTATGGCAGCAGCTGCTACTGCCCCACCCTGCCTGAACAGCAGCTCACCAAAACAACTGCATCCACACCGGCCTGGGCTAGCAAGTCCAGCCGATACTTGTCATCTTCATGAGTGCCGATGGCTGCTCCACACAGCAGCTGCTTCTTGGCATCTTTGGAGGCTAGTGGGTAATCCCGGTTCTTCTTCAGGTCTGTCCGGGCGATGATGGCCACCAGTTCATCATCTTCATTTACAATGGGCAACTTTCCTGAGGGCATAGCAGGACATGAATCAGGACTCTGGTGTTTGGTTACAGAACCCTTCCTACCTCTAGGACTCACCCTTCTTGCTGCGCTGCAGAATTTCATTTGCTTCCTTCAATGTGATGCCTGCAGGGGCTACCACCAAATCATCTCTCTTGGTCATGATCTAAAAGGGGGGGTAGCTGTGAGGAAGAGCCAATCAGAAGCCAGACCTCCCAACAGGCCCTTCCCTTAACTCAGGAGTGAGGTTCCAAATATCACCATGTTCACACACCACCCAAACCACACTCCTCTCAAGTAAACCCAATAGTCTATGTAGTAATCTAGTGACAAGCATGAGAATTGGTAGAAAGGACAATGTGGTATTTGTTGTAGCCTGTTACACTGTTAGGGAAAGAAGGGCCATACCAGATCAATGACGAGAGAATTAGAAGAGGCGGCTGAAACTGGTCCTTAAGCACTGACTCCACCCTGGGGGTGGCAAAGAATACAGCGTGTATGCTGGCAAACATCTGGGCAGATTGAGTGCCTCTGGTGCATGTATTGGGGGCGGGGGGGCAGAACTCTATGAAAGGATCAGAAACTTGGCTAGGCACTCATCTTTCCTGGACAGCAGAGACCATCAGAAATGCCACTGAGGCAACAGAAGGCTCCCTGTCTTTAGTCTGGTTGCCAGAACTTGGCTTTGCAAGTGCATTTACCTCTTCCAAAAACCGGTCATGTTCCTCCTCCTTGAGAAAATCAATGTCCCTCGAGGAGATGATGCCCACCAGGCGGCTCCCCATCCGGCCGGTGTCGGTGATGGGGATACCGCAGAAGCCATGCCGGGCCTTGGCTTCAAACACGTCCCGTACTCGATCCTTAGGGCTGAGGACCACAGGGTCCGTAATGAAGCCCTGCTCATATTTCTGGAAGGGGTGATGAGAATGGGCGTTTCTGAGCGACTTTCACTGGGCTCCTGGTCTGAAAACTGGGCTTGTACCAACTCCCCCTTTGGCAGTGCCACAGGGCCAAACTGCACCAACACTTGAAACCCAGGTATAGGAGACATGGGTGGGCGGCAGGCACTGTTCACCTGGCCCTCTTCTGAGACCCAGGATCTCAGGCTCTTCCACTCAGGAACTCAACTCCACAATGGGGAAAAAGGATCCATAATTTGAAGCAAAATAAACCCCACTCCCACCCCACCCCAGTGCAATTCCCAGGAACTCTTGACCATGATCCTTGCCCTTCTGACCTTCACTTTCCGAACTTCGTTGGCCTGGAATTCAGGTGTACAGTTGTGGTGGATGAAGCCAATACCACCTGTAAGCTGCAGAGTAAACAAAAGACAGAAAAAGTAACAAGAATTAGAGAGGCATGACTGTATGCCTTTGGGGAAGAGAGATCAGGCTGCTGCTGCCCTTAAGCCCCATGGTGCTCACCGCCATTGCTATGGCCATCCCAGCCTCTGTGACTGTGTCCATGGGTGAGGAAACCAGTGGGGTTTTCAGAGTGATCTTTTTGGTCAGAGCAGAGGTCAAGTCCTGAGGATATTAAGCCAGCTAATGTGAGGAAACACTTCATACAACTCATGATGGCTCCAAGTGCCCCACAAAACAGGTGACCTGTATGACCTGCATGCTAGTAAAACCATCCCATAGAATCCACCCCAAAGCCCAATCTGGTGAGGCAGACCAGGGCACAGCCGCCCCTTACCCAACCGTAATGCTCAGGACCCAATTCCTGGCCATACTCACCACCTGGTCTGCAGTGAAGTCGATGTACCCGGGGAGAATGAGAAAGTCACTACGGGGGGAGAGGAGCAAACGGGGGGTGAGGCTCAGGCTCAGTGCAACCGGAGACTCCATCCCCACAGAGCATCTCTTAAGGCATTTGGGCAGAGAGGGCACTGACCTAGCCCATGTGTCACACGCAAGGCAGAGCACAAGGTGGAGACAGTGACGGGACCTTTCCTGCCTGCCACCTCGCTGTCAGAGCCCCTGGCACCCTGACAACTCCATGTGCCCAAAGGATGGAGTTTCCAGTCTGAAATCCCAAGCACTGGCAAAATTCCGCCTCCATCCCGCCCCGCTGTGTCTGTCAAAGTGAGCCCCAGAGCTGGGTGGGGAATTTCCGAAACCGGCCCCTCAAGCACGAGCCCAAGCGGGCTCAATGGAAGCCCAACCCGGCCTTCCTGCCCAGCACGCCGCCCCTCCTCGCCCGTGAGCCCCTCAGGCCCGCACTTGTAGGTGAGGCCATCCCCGCAGTTGAACAGCTGCTGTGCCGTAAGCCCGTCGTCCGGCACGTAGGACGTGCCCCCGCTAATCAGGTAGTCGGCCATGGCCAGCGCGCGGACAGCCGCGAGTCTCCGACGACCACGCCGCAGAGGCCTCTGGCGTCGGGGACGCGCCAATATACACACGCTACCGTCAGCGCGCCTTGCGCGTCGCTGACGTCAAGACGCAGCACGCGTAGGCGGAGCCGGCGCGCCCACGGGGCGGGGTTGGCGGGAGGCGCATGCGCACAGCGTGCACAAGCCCGGTAACCAGGGGGTTGGGCTGTTCGCGTCGCTGCCCCCTCCCGCAGAACCTCGGCCTGTTCAGCTAACAGGCAAGGTTTTGCTTCCACTGTTCCTCCGGTTTCCTCCCAAATAAAGAGGCGTTGTTCACTAGCAGGTTGAAAAGACGTGCTTGTCATTCTTAATAAACAACTAGATTAAGAATACATAAGAGAAACAGAGTGGTATCTTTATATGATACACAAGTGTATGTTACAAGAATTCCATCAGGCACAGGAGCCTCAGGTTTAAGGCCTCAATGTTAGGCCAAAAAAAAAAAGGCATGGTAAAGTTTTTACTTTAACATCTAAAATGTCACTTGTCATAAAGGAGAGTGTAATAGAAATTGTCTTTAATAAATCATAATTGAAGTTCCCCTCATTTTCCTTCCATTAAGATGCTAAGTTTACGTCTGAGCATGAAAGAAAAGACCGTTTCCCTGGGGTCAGCGAAGTCGGCCAGTCTGAGTGGAAGCCAGCTGGGGAGATTCCCTGGAGGGTCCATCCATCATTAATTCCAGCTTTCTGGAGGAAGGGAAGGGGCCACATTTCTCCAAACAGTCCAAGCCCTTTCCCAGGCCCCAGACAAAAAAAGAAAAAGTCAGCCAGCAACTTTATAGGACACCTGGCTCTCAGGAAACGTAGGGCCCCCACGGGCTGAGGAGTCTGCCACAGCAGGTTTATGAAGATGCACAGGGGGCAGTTTCCTTTTACATTTTAAACAGAAGCAGTCTGAAAGACTTCATAACTACACCAATAAAAAAAGAAAAGAAAAAATGGAGGCCTCTTCTTTAGTGTGAAAGTCTGTCTGTGTTTTCCTGGGCGCTCTCCTTAGCACCATGGCTAAGGGATCTCAGTGCATGGTGCTTGCGTTGGCCACTGCAATGGCCTCCTGAATTTCTCGTATCACCAGGATCCGAGTCAGCATTTGTCCCATCTGCTCTCTGCTGATAGGCTGGACCGAGTACCAGATTGGACTGTTGGGGGCCACCACTGGCTCGGGCGTCAGGTAAAAGGTGTCATTCCGGCCTTTCACACTCTGGGGACTGAAGAATATGTCAGTAAAAGTTGGTTAAAACCAATCTCAACCCTCCCACCTGAACCTCCCAGACAGATAATTGCAAAAGCTGGGAAGGCAGTAGCTCTGGAAGGTATGGTGGCACAGCTACTGAATTGCATGCATCCAACACATACTACCTCAAATGCCACCAATAGGCTGCCTTTACTCCTCCCCCACACACTGCCAGCTGTGATTCCTCTGACTAACCAGCTGCAGAGGGCTCCCAGGCCTCATCTACTTGAGTCCAGTCATATCCCACTTGGAACCAACATCACTTCCCAGAAGGTCTGTCCAAGTCTTTGCTCAAGTTGTTTCCTTTACCCAATCCATTGATAATCCCTCAATTCTACTGAGGAACTAGGGCCCTTACCTGGCCCCACCCTCCGTACTGCTGTGTTGTACCTCTCTAAAGTACTTAGTACATGCCATCCTCTTAGCTATTCATTCACCCACTCAAGATTTACCAAAGAGCAACTGTGTGCCAATTCTGCATTAGGTGATGTTAAAGAAATGAGTAAGACCCAACAGTGCCTACCTCCTAGAGCTTACAGATAAGGGGAGAGGAAGAGAGTAGTTAAACACTTACACAAATACACACAAAATGACAAACAGTGTAACAGATGGAATAGCCTGAGGGAATAGGTAGAGTCTGAAAACGCTTCCCTGATGGATAGGAGCTACTGCCAAATGAGTAGGGGTGAAGTGGTGTGGGGGTTGCCCAACAGAGAAAAATTATGTGCTGAGGCCTTGAGAAAGGGAATGCATCATGCCCGTAAGTGGAGAGAAGCCAGTGTAGCTAGAAAGCCAAGAGCTACATGAACATGAGATTAGCAAGGGGGAGTGAATGAAAGGTCTCGTTGGCCATATTAGGATAATTCTTTGGAGAGCAAAAGAAACCACTAAAGGTTTTAAGTAACATAAACCTACAATGTAGAAAGGTCATTCTGGCATTGCTATGAAGATGACAGCCAAACTTTAGGTACAAGAAAGAACAAAAGCCAAGGAAAGGAGTACCCTCTAGATTGATGGTGATGATGACAAAACATCAAGCCCAAGATGTTGTTAAACATAGAATAGAGGTAGCCTCTCTGTACCTTCCTCCCTCTACCTTCACCTCCTCTCCAGGAAAGGGGACCATTAGGGCGCAGGGACCCCTTTTATAATCAGGGTGCTAAGCATATCACATGCTTTGTAAAAAGCAGTAAGGTTGCTTCTGTATGTAGTTTTTTAGAAGTGTGTTTTTACTCTCCATTGGGTACTAGAGAATAACTGCACACAGGTACGCACGCACACAGTCAGTTACCCACTTAGAATAAAACCGCCTCACCATTTAAAGAGGTAGAAATCATAGAGCTTGATGGGACATCTCAGTGGATTCTCTGGATTTTCCGTTTGTTCTGCATACATGTCATCTGTAACTATAAAACACATCCTCACAATCACAGACATGGCTTCAGACTGCTTTAGCTGAGGCCCAGATGAGGAACTTTAGACTTCCAGCCATCCCAACTAGGACATATTGGAAGGGAAAGGGTGAGGCATGGGAGGTGATTATGAAAGGAAAAGGCAGCTATCTTTTCTGGGGCATCTCTGCTTCTTCAAGAGTTTGAAGTCTCTGGCTGAGGAGAAAGGAATGGAGAATTCATACCCAGCAAATCCCAACCCCACACTCATCACTAGCCCCTCAGGCACAAGGGCACCTAGCACTGTTTCTGCAGTCCCTGCCTACCTTTCTGGCCAGTCTGGTGTATCCCCAGTGCCTTCAGGTACCGAATACTCGTGCTTTTATCTTTAGGATTGGAGGGGTTCTTCTTTGTCTGTCGCAAGACCTTGGAGAAGGCCAGCTTCATGTGCTGGTCCACTGTCTTCAACAGGAAGTACCTGCACCGCAAGTGAAAGCAAGGCAAAGGGAAGGGTGCCAGGAGGAGACCATGACTTACCATCTGCCATCAGTGCTTTGGAGGAGCCACTGCCTACACTCCCAGGATATGGGCAGGCCCACACCCACACACACTGTCTAGTGGAGAAGCCACATCAAGACTGATGGTGGGGGTCTGGCAAGGCTGTCTGCTTCACTAGTCACCACACAAAATGCAGCCAAGTGGGACTGAGGGCTTTCAGTAGCCCAAAGGCTCTCAAATATGTGTCAAAAGAATTCAAAGTCTGCCTGGATAGTTTCCACCCTCTTCACTGGGCAGATGCCAGCAGTGGCTAAGCATGGAGCCTCTAGAACACTTACTTGGTATTAAAGAACATGAGGGTGGTCAGCAGGGTGGAAGGGGAGTGAGCCCCGAGCTGCTTGCACTCCCACAGCATCTCCTCAGTCACGTGGCTGGGCAGGACATAGCCTAGGAGGAATAGAGTACTGCTACAACAAGAGGATGGCAGGCGTTCCCTCAAAGGTGCAAGATGGGAAGTGTGAGGGACAACCAGGACCACACAGGACTACAAGTTTAACCAGAGAAGACTTCCTGGTATGGCAGAATCACCTGGGAAGCTTGTTAAAACGCAAATGGCTGGGTCTCAGCACAAATTTCTGGGGTGGGACATGATAATATGCATTTCTAACAATTTCCTAAGACCACATTTTGAGAACCACTGCCCTAAACATGCTCTTACCGGATGTTAATTCTTCTTTTAATCCAAGGTTAACATGGGACAAAAGGATAGGCTTCAGGGAAAGTGAAACACCCAAAAAACTATAACCCAAACTCTGCATAAATGCATACTACTCTGGAAAGCGGGCATAGAACTTCCATATTTTCGAAGGTGTCCAGGGCCCAGAGAACTGGCATGCATGCCTGTTTGCCCTTGCTAGACCTTATCGTGGCTTTCATCTCTAGAAAGCAAGCCCATTCTCATCCCCTCTCTAGTAAAGGGGACTGCCATTCTGAACTATTACAGGTGTTCCCCACAGGGCAGATTTTATTGTTAAAAGCCTGCTACATAAGCAAATTGAGAACTGGGCAGGGACAAAGGTCAGTATGATCACCAAGCCCCCTTCATGTGTTCATTCAACAGTCAATGTGCAAGTGTGTGTGTGCCCTGTAGGCAGAGGGCCTGGTGAAACAGCAGCAGCAGACACCAGCTTTCTCCAGGCATACAGTGACAGTGCCACTTCTTAGAAGCAGGGAAAGAAATATTCTGTCCAACACATTCCTCTACTCTGTTCTTACCAAAGCTGGCCTTTTGACTCCATTAGTGCATTTCCATCTCTTTAGGGCAGCTTTGCCTCTACTCTTGTATTTGGTGGTCCAGAGACAATGAGATAAGCTTCCCTGCTCTTAGACATGTCCGGGGCAGGATGAGTGGCAGAAAACAGCTGTCCTCAGGGAAGGCCAGCCCTAGGAGTGGTCCCAGGCATACTTTGGCCTGCCCTATTTTCTCTGGGTTCACTGTGCCCCTGGAGTCACCTTCCCTGGTTTTAACTGCTTCTTAACAACACAAATTAGAGTGAACTTTCATGCATGACGACCAGGACAGCTGACATGGGAGAAGGGTGATACAAATAGACACATCATATAAAAGCCTCATAGTTCTAATTCTAAACTACAAGTATCAAAATGGTCTATTTTGTTTTTTATATTTTTGGTTTGCCCACTTTAAGGCCTAGAAACAATGACCAACTCAGGAGCAACAAGCACACATAGCCTCCAGGCTTTGGTTTGGTACTGAAATACCATTTACCACTTAAAAAACCAGGCACCATGGAGAACAGACTGATTCCACATCCGGACAGGAAATGTTCAAGATGAGCCTGAGACATTTTAGGAAACCAGAAATCAAGGAAGAAGGGTTGTGTCAAAAGAACTTAAGAGCTAATTTAAAGAAGCTCCAAATGACCAAAGATGGGACAATCTGCATATCAGTAAAGATAATTTTTAAAAAAGGTAACTGTAATACACTGAATCATATTAAATATTTAAATTCACTACTTCATGATGATTCTTAAAAAACAAAAAACCACCCAGTTACTTGGTTATCACCGAGGGAAGCTGGTAAACCAACTCATTCCTGTGAAAACTGCTAAACAAAGGAGAAGAAGCAGCCCATATCCTCCTTCTGTACAATTTATACGGCCTTGAATTCAAAAGGTTGACAAGGAAAAGTTTCTTTTGTTTTTCAGCTAATAATGAAGAAGTAGTAACATTAGAATACCACCTTTTGCAACTAATAAATTAATGGATCCAGACATTATGGGCATCAGATGAAAATAAATAACCCATCTATGATCTAACCTTGCCGAAATGAAAACACACACACAAAAAAATAAAACCTGATCAATTAAGTCTTTATATGCGACTACCAATTAGCTGTAAATACAGGGGACAGAAGAGTATATAAAACTACGCCACAGGGATGTAATCAGTAAAAAGTAGACTGCGTGACAATTTAAAAGGCTACTTTCTTCCATAAATAAATTGCAAGAAAAAACTCAGGGGGGAATTAAAGATTAAAGCTAAGCATAAAAAGGTATACCCAGCAATTTCAATGTGTGGAATCACACCTTGACCCCGATAAGCAAAATTATGACATTTATGAGACAATTAGAAATTCAAAACAGAGGGTAGAGATTTTGATGACATTTTAGAATTTTTTAAAAAATCTATGAAAACGGCATTGTGGTATGTCAATAATACATATTAAAATACTTATGAATAAAGTGTCTGGGATTTACTTCAAAATAATATGGGAGGGGGAATAAAGTGGTGTATATATGAGAGAAGATTTGCCATGAATAAACAGTAGGTACATGGGAGGGTCATTAATCTATTTTATTTTTATATGTGCTTGAAATTCCACAAATTTTAAAAAGCAAACTCTGCACAGCTACACTTGGCTTAAAAATTTGCAGATCATGTAGCGTGAGTCACTGATGCACTTACTCAGGTCTCGGTTCTAACAGCAGCCCTTAGAGAGGCCTCCCTCCTAATGCCCTTAACACTTTCTATTCCCTTGTGCTTTCTTCTTCAAAGCACTCAGTCACAAATTAATCTCATTATTTACTGTCTCCCCGTTAGACTGTAAGGTCCATTTTGTTCAGTACGATATTATTATCTACATACCTGGAATACTGCCTGGCACACAGTAGGCACTCAAAAATATTTAACCAATACATTTTTTTAAGGTTAATTAAGCATATAACAAACTATGGGTGGTGATCGATGTAACTAGACTGTTTTCAACACAAATACCAAGGACCTAGATTGCTGGATCATAAGATAACATGATGTTTACTTTTGTAGAAAATGCCAAATTGTCTTCCAAAAGCGGCTGTACCACTCTGCATTCCCACCAGCAATGAATGAGGGTTATTGTTGCACCCTATCCAGCATTTGGTGCTGCCAGTGTTTGGGATTTTAGCCATTCTAACAGTTATATAGTGGTATCTCATTATTTTAAGTTAAAATTTAATGATGACATATAATAAGCATTGTTCTTATTATATGTCTTATTATATTCTTGTGTGTCTTCCTTATGAAGCATCTGTTCAGATTTTTGGTCCATCTGTTAATCAGGTTGTTTGTTTTCTTGCTGGTGAGTGTTAAAGAGTTCTCTGTACATTTTGGATACCAGTCTTTCATCGGATATATTTTGCAAAGATTTTCTCCCAGTTTGTGGCTCTCTTAACAGTGTTTCACAAAGCAGTCGTTTTTAATTTTAATGGAGTTCAACTTACCAATTTTTTCTTTCATGGATCACAGTGCTTTTGGTGCTGTATATAAAAAATCATCACCAAACCTAAGGTCACCTAGATTTTCTCCTATTTATCTTTAGGAAGAGTTTTGCAATTCTGCATTTTACATTTAGGTCTGTGATCTGTCTAGAGTTAGTTTTGTGAAGTGTATAAGGTATGTGTCTAGATTCATTCTTTGCATGTGCATGTCCAGTTGTTCCAGAGACATTTGTTGATCGATTATCCTTTCTTCATTGAATTCCCTTTGTTCCTTTGCCAAAGGTAAGTTGGTTATATTTTTGTGGCTATATTTCTGGGCTCTCTATTCTGTTCCATTGATCTACCTGCCTATTCTTTCACCAAAAACCTGCACAAAATGTTTATAGCAGCTTTATTCATAATTGCCAAAACTTGAAAGTTCTTCAATAGGTGAATGGATAAACAAACTGTGGTACATCCATACAATGGAATATTATCAGCAATAAAAAGAAATGAGCCATCAAGCCACAAAAAGACACATAGGAACATTAATGCATATTGCTAAGTGGGAAAAAAAAGAAAAAAAAAATCCAAAAGGCCACAAAATAAATTATTCCAACTATATGACATTCTGGAAAAGGCAAAAACTATGGAGACAGTAAAAAGACCAATGGTTGCCAGAGATTTGGGGGAGGCATGGAGGGATGACTCGGTGGAATACAGGGAATTTTAGGGTAGTGAAACTTCTGTGTAGTACAGTAACTGTAGATACATGTCATTATACATTTGTCAAAACCCATGGAATGTACAACACAAGGAGTGAACCCTAATGTGAACTACAGGCTTTTAATTAATAATGTATCAATACTGATTCATCAACTGTAATAAGTATACTACACTAATACAAAATAATTGGGGAAACACTGTGTGAGGAGGTATATGGGAATTCTCTGTATCTCCTGCTCCATTTTTCTGTAAACCTGAAACTGCTCTAAAAAATAAAGTTTATTAAAAAAAATAAACACCGACTGGCCGGGTGTGGCTCAGTGATTGAGCATCCATCTATGATCCAGGAGATCTCGGTTGGATTCCTGATCAGGGCACATGCCTGGGTTGCAGACTTGATCCCCAGTCAGGGGCATGCAGGAAGCAGCTGATCAATGACGACTCTCATCATTGATGTTTCTCTCTCTCTCCCTTCCTCTCTCTGAAATCAATAAAGACATATTTAAAAAAAGAAGGAAAAAAAAAGAAAAAATAAACACCTCAGACATCTACTATAAAACTCATGTTCCTTTCCAACATAACATACTGCCCAGGAAGTTACCTATAGGTAAAGCAAAAATTATGCTCTATATAGGGTGGGGCAAAAGTAGGTTTATAGTTGTGAGTATAGGAACACAGTTTAATCTTGTATGCAATGATTCTAATTTTAATCAATAAATTTTAATAGGAAAAAAAGAGTAACTACCCTACGCTCTGCATGCCCCACGTTCTTGCTACACTAGGACCAGCTGGGTCGTGTCTGATGAGCAGTGCCCCTTCCATATCAGGGCAAGCAGCACAGATGTTGATGCTGGTGTCTAGGATTTACAGCATTCTCACCCACATGCTGTATCACAGCCAGCCACATAAGCAGCCGATTCTTTTTAAACCCAGGTGAGAAAGACATCCAAGGACTAGGAAGACTCTTACCAAGTGGAGTGACTCGGGGCTGAACGTCCTTCAGAACTTCATGTAGCCACTCCGTGAATCGAACGTAGTAAAGATCAGAGAAGATGTCATCAACTCGTCCATTTTCAAAAAGATACTGAAAGAAAAACAATCAACAAAAGTTGTTGGTAGTCTCTCAAGTACAAGTTTCAGGGGAAATAAACATTTTTCTACTGGTACCATCACCTCTGCCTACCCATTCCCTGCTTAATAAACCTACATACCAGGTCAAAATCATCCAGCATGTGACACTTCCACCATACTTCAGATCATGTGAACCAACTCTCACAACCCTCTCAAGAGTTGTGTCAACAGGGTAGATTTTGTGAATGCTATTTCACCCAGGCAAGGAAATGTCTCATGGTAGCAAAAAACATGGTGCAGGCTCTGGGGACAGCTTCCTATTAGCTATGGTGCAAGTTAAATAACTCAAGGAAGTCTTTTAACTTTGGGGCTCAGATTTCTTGTCTGTAAATGGAGATGACTGTGCCTATCTTCCAGGACTGGGGAGAACATGGACTGAGACACCATGTAAAGCAATTCACCTAGTACCTTGAATGACTGGGAAGGAAGAGGAACAAACTGGGAGGCAGACTTTGCTCAGGCCTAGGCAGCAGGGTGAGTGCTAACCAGCATGTGCTTTTGCCCATCTTACTGTGGGATTTTCCACAAGAGCATTCAAACACTAAGAAATCCTCCTCAGCTCTCCTAAACTAAAGTCTAAAATGAACTTTTGTTATGCTTCACCTTAGATGTCGGAAAACCCAACTACAGTTGTATATTCTCATTCAACTACCTCAAATAATTATTTTATACTAATTAATGCAGGAAAGAATAAGATACGCTGTTTGTTAGCACCAAACTTTATTTTGGATAAATTACTTTTACGCAAACCATGCTTACTTTAACAAAAATAATGGTGCTGGAGCGTTGTCCTGTACACCAAAAGGTTGAGGGTTCGATCCCTAGTCGAGGCATGTATGGGAGGCAACCAACTGAAGTTTCTTTTTCACACTGATGTTTCTCTCTCTCTCTCAAAATATCAATGAAATAAAATTTTTTAAATCCTTGGGTGAAGATTAAAAAAAATGTTTCATTATTTTTCTAAAACAGCTCTTGGGTAATATACCAAATTTTTTTTTTTTGCTTGTATTTTTCTTTTTAATATACAAAATGTTTTAAAAGAAGTTTCTCTAGATGGCAGACAGGATTATAAATGATGCTTATTTATTTATTTCTAAAGTGAACATGTAGGTTTTCTGCAATGAAAAAAACACACTTAAAAACTCATTATAGCCTAACCAGCATGGCTCAGTGGTTGAGCGTTGACCCACAAACTAGAAGGTCACAGTTAAATTCCCAGCCAGGACACATGTACAGGTTACAGGCTCGATCCCCAGTAGAGGGCATGCAGGAGGCAGCCGATCAGTGACTCTCATCATTGATGTTTCTATCTCTCCCTCCCTTTCCCTTCCTCTCTCTGAAATCAATTTAAAAAAACAAAAAAACCTCATTATACAGTTGAAAGTCCAAATTATAACCACTTGCTTGTCATTTTACTAATCTGAATATCCAGTAAATACCCGATGAGAACACAGCTCAAACATGTTCCTGTGAAGCTGTTTCCTACCTTCTGAATGCACAGGAAAATATAGTAGAGTACATCTGGATCATAGGGTTCACCTTCTCCATTTCGAGCTTCCCGTGTCATTAGACAGAGCCCATAATTCAACTCGGCCACAGCAGAAGAGATGAGATCTTCCTGGAATCGCAGAAGCTGGCGTCCTACAACACAAACCCCAAAGGTGAATGGAGGTCCTGGCAATAGTCATCTCTTTATCGGTCACTCATATCCTTGAAGTCGGCTCAGAGCAAATATTGCCCCATCAGGGGTGAGATGGAAATGGTCACTTGTATCTGGCCTACTAAGGCAATAATCCTGTATGCTCTATTACACCAAGGGTTTCCTTTCCACAATCCTTCCCACCTTACATATCCTGAAAATTTGTATTAGGGCCACGACATGAAAGAAAGAAAAAAATCCACCCCCTGTAATGTTAGGAAGCATAAAAGCATAATGCTAAGGAAGAAGGGGCTTGAGCGCACTCACTGGTTTCTATCTTCTCCCAAAAGTCGCTCTGCACAGGTCTAGGTCAACTCCAGAAATCCATGTATACAAAAATGCCTGGTCTTGCACAAATCCTGTTCATTTGCAACTGGTCAGTCCTGCTTGTTGCCTGTCTTAAATTCAGCCTACTATTTCAGATGGAGCTCCCTAGACCCCAGAGCCAAGGGACACCACTTTCCTGCCATTCCCCCCTCCTGCTGCTTCAGTGCCACTGCATTTTAGACAGAGTCCACCCCCCATCCCTCCCAAACACTCACTCCCAATGGGCGCCAGTCTGTTCTGAGCATCCTTCTCTAGCTCAGCGTTCTTGGTCTGAGCCCAGTTTTTCCATACTTCAAGCCCTTCTTCTGGCTTCAGAGAATTTGGAAGCAGAAGTTCTGGGGAAGGCTGTGGCTGTGACTGTGGTTCAACTTCAGCAACTTGGACAGTTTGAGCCTATGAGACAGAAACCATCAAAATGTTTCATTACTCTTTCACATCAGGCCCTTTACTTGGTAAAACTGCCCCAAAAAATGTTACTTGTAGTTCTTTTAATAAAAAATATATTTTCTCCTTGCTGTCTTGTTTTCAAGAATCTTTGAAATTCTACTCCTTATTCCAGGGATAGCAAAGCCTAGTACAGGGATTATCAGCCCTGGCTATACTTTTTTAAAAATATATGTTTTTATTGATTTAGAGAGAGAGGGAGAGAAAGAAACATCAGTGTGAGAGAGAAACATTGATCGGTTGCCTCCTGCATGCACCCCGACCAGGAATAGAACCTGCAACCTGGGCATGTGTCCTGACTGGGAACCAAACCAGTGACCTTGTCGGTGCATGGGATGACACTCAATCAACTGAGCCAAACCGGACGGGGCCTGGCTATAGTTTTGAATCTGATTTAAAAACCAATACCTGCCCGGCTGGGCGTGGCTCAGCGGTTGAGCATTGACCTAGGATCCAGGCGATCGGGGTTCGATTCCCGGTCAGGGCACATGCCCGGGCTGCGGGCTCGATCAATGACTCTCTCATCATTGATGTTTCTATCTCTCTCTCTCCCTCTCCTTTCCTCTCTCTGAAATCAATAAAGATATATTTAAAAAATAAAATTAAAATTAAAAAAATAAAATAAAAACCAATACCTGCCCTGGCTGGCCTGGCTCAGCGGTTAGAGCATTGGCCAGAGGACTGAAGGGACCCAGGTTCGATTCTGGCCAAGGGCCCGTACCTAGGTTGCAGGCTCGTCCCCAGCCCTAGTCAGTGTTCTTGTAGGATTGTAGGAGGCAACCAATAGATGTGTCTCTCTCACATCAATGTTTCTCCTTCCCTCCCTCTCTCCTCCCTTCCCCACTCTCTAAAAAGCAACGGAAAAAATACCCTCTGGTGAGGATTAAAATCAAACCAACCAATACCTGTGCTCCGCCCAGAATCTCTTTTTAAAGAGGGATCAGTGTTTTTAAAACCTTCTCATATAAAAAGGCAACTCTAATTCTAATTCTAATGTTCAGTCACTACTGGTCCAAAGTACTGCTCGTCCAACTACAATGAGCCAACAAATCACTTGGGGATTTTATTAAAGAGCAGACTTTGATTCAAAAGGTCTCAGGTGGGACCTGAGATTCTGCATTTATTTTTATTTTTATCCATCTCAGAGGAAGGGAGGGGGAGAGAGAGAGAAAGAAACATCGATGTGAGAGAAACATCAACTGGTTGCCTCCCACACAGCCCCAACCAGGGATCGAACCCACAACCTGGGTATGTGCCCTGACTGGGAATTGGACCCGCCACCTTTTGGTTTATAGAACAACACTCCGACCAACTGAGCAACACTGACCAGGGCTGCATTTCTCATAAGGTTCCAAGTGCAGGAGCTGGTCTGCTGACCACAGTTTGAGTACCAGGTGTCAAGAGCAGTAACTCACATGCCCAAGCCTTAATCCTCAGGAAAAAAATTTTTTTTTTGAATTATGTTTTTATTGATTTCATAGACTGAAAGGGAAAGGGAGAAGAGATAGAAACATTAATCAGCTGCCTCCTACACGAGCCCTACTGGGGATCGAGACTGCAACCCAGGCATGTACCCTGGCCAGGAATTGAACCAGCGACCTCCTGGTGCATGGGCTGGTGCTCAGCTAACTGAGCCACACCAGCTGGGCCAGAGATTCTCGATTTAATTTGTCTAAGGTGAGGGCCTGCTGCTATCAGTATTTTCAAAAGTTCCCCAGATGATTCTAATGTCCAACCATGGTTGAGAATCATTTAGAGAAAGAAAAGTATAACAAATAAGCCATGTCCCTCTCCTTGCCATTGTAAGATAACAGGATAAGACTTGATGATCTGTATGGCTTCTCTAGTTATACATAAGGTTCTATTTTTTTCATGTTCTGTCTCAATAATACCATGCTGACTTGTAAGGACAATTTCTTTAGACAGGAGGCACTGCTCTAGCTTCCTGCCTCCAAAGGGAATGTTCCCATCCTCAATGGCCCGACAGCTAAGCCATGCAGACACAGGAACAGAGAATATCTGTGAGTCTGAATCACAATCCCCATTAGGCAGGACAGATACCAACACAGATTCTTGGGGCTTACACACCTGTCCACATTCTAAACCAATTTCCTTGAGCAATTTTCCCTTCCAGGGCTTCTTGAGAAACGTCAAATTATTCAAATCGAAAGCAAATTTATTTATCCATGATGAGTAAATTTGCTATCAACAAATAAAAAAAAAATACTAGCTTTGGTATTATACACTATTAAACAAGGAGACAGAGCAGTACCAGTGCCAGGCCCTTAAACGTTCGGCAGCCCTGGAGCTCCACTGTAGGCACACATCTCACTTTCCTTGTTGAGTCTCACCCACATGCCCAAATGGAGATGCCCAGATGGAGTTCCTCATCTGTGGGAATGATTGCGAACTTTGCATCTCCAACTATGCTAACCATAAGCAGACCTCCCCTGAATCTACCCAGTGGGTACTGTGTATCTCCAACTGGACATCTCATAGCAACCTCAGACTAATATCTGTTGAGAGAACTCATCCCCTTCTCCATCCAGGACTATTCTCCTCAGAGCTCCTTCCCTCCCTTGTTCAATGGTGACACTATCTACTCAAGCTGGAAATCTAGGAATCTGACTGGGGAAGTAGGTGGGGAAGTGCTTCTCTACTGGCTTTTTAGCCAGGCTCCCTTCACTGTGTGCCTCTACCCACTAAATGTAACACTCCCAAAATTCTTCCACATGTGTCCAAATGTCTATCAGTAGGTAGGGGTAGTAAAGATCCCACCCAGGCTGAAAACTACTGATGTAAGCAGGGCATTGCACACTGTGGTATAGAGGATGTTTTCCTTTTTATAATGGGGCGCTTGGAGAGTTTTAAGCTGGGAAGTGACAATCTTACATTTAAAAAAAATTATTTTTGCCCTGGACAGTGTGTATCAGTTGGTTGGAACATCTTCCCATATACCAAAAGGCTGTGGGTTCAATTCCTGGTCAGGGCACATACTTAGGTTGTGGGTTTGATCCCTGATTGGGGGACGTATGGAAGGCAACCAACTGATGTTCTCTCCGATCAATATTTCTCTCTCCCTCTCTCTTCCCTCCTCTCTAAAATCAATGAGCATATCCTTGAGTGAGGATTAAAAAATAATAATTAAATAAAACTTGGTGAGCTATGGAGAATGGAATGAAAGCAAAAGTGGAAGCAAGTGCTGGTTGCCTGGACTCAGATAGTGGCAGTGGAGATGACTTAAGAGTCTGAGAAGTTTGGTGGTAGACCAGTGTGGCTTGTTGATGAACTTGCTGTGAGGAGTAAGGGAAAGTAGACTCAAGGATGACTCCTGGGTTTCTGGCTTAAATAAATGGGTGGCTGGTTAATGCTACTACTTTCTAAGATGGTGAAGTTTTCCATAGTGGCAGAGTGAATACTAATGAAGAGCTGAGAGATCTTCTTAAATCCAAGCAAATAAGTAGCTGCTGAATGTGTGGGAAGGTGTTCTAAGGGGAAAGGCATGGTCTAGAGATACTAAGATATATGTGTCAGTGCAGCACAAGGGTTAAGATGGGTTGCAGAGCCTGCCTGTCCAGGGTTGAATTCCAACTCTGCTACTTACTAATGGTGGCTTTGGCCTTGTTGTTTAATCTCTCTGTGCCTCAGTTTCTCCATTTGTAAAATGGAGACAGTAATATATACCTCATAAGGTTGGTGAGGGAATAAAATGAGTTAAAACATGTACCATGGAAAACAATGCTGACAGTCAGTGAATATTTTTAGCAGCAGTACCATCTAGAGGATATGAAAAACATACTAAAGGACAGAAATCCCTGAGGGAGGAAAGAGGGCCAGTACTTCGCAGAGGAACACAAACATGTGACTCGGGTAGAGAAGGCACCAGCAGTCTCCTGAGAAGGGAAAAGAATCAGTGGCATAGGAAGAAAACTAGAGTGTGTAACATGAAAATCCGTAAGTTTCAAGAAGGCTGTTGCTGTTGTGTGTTGCTAAGATTAAAAACAGATGTGCCTATTGGATCTGGCCACTGCTGACTTTGCCTGACAAGAACAGACTATCATGTGTTGAAAACTGGTTAGCAAGTGGAGTCAGCTTGAACACATAACCCTTGGGAGAGAAGTTTTGCCATAAATCTGGTTTTAAAGACAGGTGATAAGAGAGCTTTCATAAAGGGTATGCCAAGTGAAGGAGCACAACACTGTCCTCAGCTCTCCTTACCGTTCAACTCATACCACAACACAATTATCTTCCCCGCAGGCTGTGAGTGCTCCAAGGACAGAGATTGTCTTATTCACCTCTCTTCCCTAGAGCAGAGCCTGACAAGGAGAGCAAGGGAATGTGTGTGGTGCAAAAGGAAAAACTCATCTTTCCTCCATGAGGAGTATTCTTAACCAATTTCCTTTTATGGCAATAATGATTGATATAAGCCCCTATAAGACTTTCACAAATGAGACACAGTACTGAATAACATGGGCCCACTAAAATGAACTCCCGAAAAGATCTCCTTCCTGCTGAAGGGCCTGAATGTACAAATTAGTAAGAGACTAATGAGCACCAAGAGCCCTAACCTGCAAATTGGACCGCCAGGACCAAGAGAGCTGAAAAGAGGCTTGCTGAGCTCCATGCCTGTGAGCAAAAGCTGAGCACAAAGCCCTGTTACAAGTCTCCTGGCTGGTCTCTCCTGCATGCACTGAGTTCTACACCCTGCACTTGATTCTTACCACACTCAGGATTTTGGAAAAACTGCCCACCACAGATCAGCAGATCAAGCTCAATTATTCACTTTGGGAAGGTAACTCCTTTGCCCGCATACTATCTTATCTCCCACAGCCCCCCCCTCATGTTGCCCTAGGCCATGTCCCTTCTTTCCATTCCTGACTTTATTTGTGCTGCTCCATTCTTCTGTCAATGTAAGCTATCAACTACAGAGCATATACCTCTTTTCCCACAAAGATGCATCTGCTGACTTATTAACCTAGAATGATTTCTGAAGACCCAGTTTTTCTTTGTGTGTGTGGCACACAATGTCACACTTGATTATGCTGCCTTATAAATAATTCAAAGAAACAGAAATTATACATTCTTACTCCTACAACTGACTATAACCTACCTGAAACAATGAATCTGTCCTGTTCTACTTCTAGGCCTGACAGCTGGATACTTAATAGTTCCTTAACAAAGTCATCTAAGATAAGGTACTTCTGCCTTTATGAAACCACTTGGTCAGCTTTGGCCTAATCAAAATTATTCATTGCATGAGTTTCTGAGTGTGGTCCCAAATCTGCCAGTGCTTTGTTTGTGCCAGCTCCCTCACATGCATTCCCAGGAGACCCTGCCCTCTGAGGGCACACTGTCTTCAGCAGATCCATAAGACTAGAGGCCCTATATCCATTCTATAGATCTGCTAGACAAGGGACCAGAAAGTTTACTAATACTCTTAAAAGATGATAGCGTTAAGAAGATTAGCCCGGCTGGGCATGGCTCAGTGGTTGAGCGTCAGTCAACCTAGGATCCAGGTGATTGGGGTTCAATTCCCAGTCAGGGCACATGCCCGGGTAGAGGGCTCGATCCCCAGCTGGGGGCGTGCAGGAGGCAGCCGATCAATGACTTTCTCATCATTGATGTTTCTATCTCTCTCTCTCTCTCTCTCTCTCTCTCCCCCCTTTCCTCTCTCTGAAATCAATAAAGATATATTAAAAAAAAAAAAGATTAACAATTAGAAAAGATCAGAGTTAAACAATTTTAAAGTTAAAATTTCAACAGAGTTATATTTTTGAAACTTTTCTGTAATCTAAATGATTTCAAAATAAAAAGCTTTAAAAAAAATTTCAACATAGCTGTCATGACAGAAAACTCAAGTAACTGAGGTTTATCTTTACTACTTTTAAGGAACCTTTGGGAAATCCCACTGCATAAATGACTTGTTCAAGGCTCCCAAAGGTGATAAGCCAACCAGGAGGTATTTGAGATCTTCTAAGTCACCTACACTATGCCCACAGATGACAACAGAAGGAGCAATTTCACGTCCCCTTCCCTGAGCTGAGTTTAGAGTTTGTGTGTTAAACTACTAGGGTTCCACTAGATCCTTTCATTGGTGACACAGAAAGTAGCTCCTGGGAAGAGGACAACACTCAGGGTGTCCCATGAATCTCTACCTAGAACGTGATTCCTCTTAAAAATAGATTAACAATGAAGCACCCAAGGTCACCTTCAAAGCAGTTACTACTAGTTATTTCATTTACCTCTAGGTACCAGGACAGAACTGCCCGTTTCATAGCTTCACCTGCTGCTTCTGTCCCCACTCCCCCACCTCAACCAAAATATTAAACACTATACTACTGCAAGACTAACAGCATGGCATAAACAAGCAGAGGTGCCAGAGGTTGCTAGGCAAGTTCTGCGCTGCAGTGGGTCCTGAGGGAGCAGGATGCCCCACAGTAAGTCTCACTTACTGAACAAGTAACCTGGAGCTGCTGCTGCTGCTGCTGCTGCGGTGGCGGCGGCGGCGTCTGTTCCTGGGGCGTCTGTTGTTGTGGCTGCTGCTGAGGGTCCCATATGTGGACAGTCTGAGCTGTATTCTGGTATGTGCCTGCCACAGCCTGCACAGCCACTGGAATGTGGATGTTGCCATTCATGAACTGTGCTGGAAAGAGAGAGTTTGCCAGGGTCTGCACTACCTCTTCGTGGGAGTTTTTCACTACGGATGTGCCCACCATCTTCTCCTTGTCATCCTCCAGCTTTACCGCAGCCAGGGCCGTGGGTGAGCCACTGACATGAACTGCATTGTAGGCTTCCTGGGGAATGGCAATGTGGGTGATGCTCTGCTGCTGAGGGTCCCCCCGGGGCTGGGCAGAGTAAACAGGGATGGTCCAGGTTTCTCCTGTAGGGCTAGTAATGGTCCCAGTGGCACTGTACAGATGGGCACTGTCCACTGTCAGTAAGTCTGGCCTCAAAGATACATAACTCTGCTGCTGGCCCTGTGGAATGGCCAGCACGGTGGCCACCGGCTGCCCTGAGATGGCATAGGACACAGTGATGGGCATGTCCACTTTGCGCTTCTTCACGGGCTGGAGAACACTGGCTGTTCCAACCCGTCGCTCCCCTTCCCGCGGTGAGCCCTGCTGAGACGGTGGTGGGGAAAGGGCACCCACGGTCTGGATTTGGATCTGCTGACCCCCAGCAAGAGACTGGCCAGCCACCAACTGAGCCTGGATCTGCTGATGTGGGATGTGCTCCTCTGGGATCTCTGCAGCTTGGATCTGCTGGGCTGCCTGCACGTGCTGCACCTGAATCTGGGCTGCCTGTAGCTGTGAAGGACTGGGGCTCTGCAAAGATGGGGTCTGGATGGAAGGGGCTGCCGGCTGTGGTGCTTGGCCTTGGATCTGCACCTGGACCTGGAAGGGCTGCTCAGCAGGCTGGTGAACGGTGAGCTGTGGGGAGAGCTGCTGGGCTGAAACCTGCTGCGGAGACTGCTGTACCTGGACCTGTACCTGAAGCAACAAGATTCACCAGTGAGTAAATCAGGCAACACTGAGAATCCAGCTCTATAGGGAAGAAAAGATCTCAGGCAGAGGGCCCTGGGTAACGTGAGTAGGAAGAGCTGCTATACCCAAGGCTTCTGAGGAGTCCACAATCCCCAAAACCATATGCAAAACTCTCCAGCATCACATTGCATTAAGAGCAACATATATCCACCTGAGAGCAACAAGACTATTATCAACTGGGGCCTACAAAGGAAATATCAGAACTTCTGCTCATTTTTCACTTTTCCTTTAAAATGTGACCCCCTTTGGTTTTGCTTATTGATATAGTAGTACAAGTATGTAATTTATAAATACATATTTACTTGCATGTTCAAAATATAGTTTATCCATGGAGTGATGAAAAATGTGGGGATCACTGTTCTAAAAGGACAGGAAGTCAAGTACACTCCTTCCACAGGCACTCAATTCCCAACCTCAGGATCAAAACTACTCCCACCACAGACAACTAGTGGAAAACACAGTAGAGAGAAAACTTTTGAAATGTCTTTTGGAAATATCTTCAGGTCTGCTGCTAAAATGCAGGCACTGTTTAATGATTCCTTTAGAGTGCCTTTAAAAAAACTGAAGTAAAATTGATATATAATAGTATACAAGTTTCAGGTGAATAACATTGTAACTCGACATCTGTATACACTACAAAGTGACCACTACCCAAAGTCTAGTTACCATCTCTGACCATACAATTAATTGACCCCTTCACTCACTTCCCCCTTTCCCCTCTGGAACACCAAGCTGTGCTCTGTACACACCAGTTTGTGTTTGTTTTGTCAGAGTGCTCATTTAAGACATGCTTGTCTCAACAGAGAAGCCGTTAAAAACCTCACAAGACTACTAACAACTTAATTTGAGGAAGGTTAGTATATCCTGGATCACACATTTCTGATAATGCAACTCATCTTATTGCTGTTATTTCAGTATACAAAGCAGTATGAAAAGATGCTATGCATAGTACGTAATTTTAAAAACGGAAAGATTTGGGGTGCAATTGAGACCTTGCTTTTTGGCACATGTCATCAGTTTGGCTCAAATAAACATAAAAATGGAAAAAAAAAGAAAAAAAAGGGAAAGATTTTTTTCCCATCAGACACTCATGTCTAAATCACTTTAAACACAGGTAGGAATTAGGAAAGAAAAAACAACTTCCAAACCATGGGTCTGAGGCTGCCCCAGGGGACCCTTCTGGCTCTTTCTATTCACTTCTAGGCTCTGGGCACCCTGAGGACTACTCCACCTTCCCTAAAAGGTCTATCCTACATGAATCCCTCTGTCACCCAATTCTGTCTGCTTCCCCTCTTTTAGCAATTTCTCAAAATTTTTCTCAGACTTAGATTTTTTTATAGCATCTGTTTATTTCAGCCCTGCTAGAAATTTTTAAAAAGTCACATAGAATGAGGAAAATATGTTACGAGTCCATCATACTGAACCTATCTCATGGATTTAGTCTTTCACTTACAAGGGGTTTGTGAAAGATGATGTTAATAGGCGATCTCAATCAGCCATCTTGAATATAAAGTCTCAAACAATCCTTTAAACTCAAATTCCAAACCATTAACCTTATGAACAAGGAGGTGCAAGCTGTAAATAACAGCAGAATAACTTCTTGAACCAAAAAGTCAGCCTTCTCTTATCTACCTTCCCTGTACCCTTCCTTACAAAACCTAGAATAAACCACTGCCTCCCTCCATGTACCAGATGCCTTGTCTATGATCTCATTCAGCCTCACTAAATCGTATTATCCCTCTTTGACAGATGAAAAAACTAGGGCTAAAAAGATTAAGATCATGTCAACAAATAAGAGGGCAAGTCAAATTTAAATCCAGAGCCACGTCCTTCCCATATACCCACTGGCATTCCCAAGAGGCAAAGAGGCTACCTTCTATTTCATCAGACATACCTCACCACACTCTTATCTCTTCATCAAGTTCTACTCCCTTTTCTATTTTCTTGGTGGAAAAAAGCATCAAAAAATGCAACCACAATACAGGAGCAAGAAAGTAGCATTTTTAACTGGAGATTATTGGTTTCACATAAGAACCTCTAAAGAAGAAAACTTTTACCATCTCAGCAAATGAATGTTTCTCCTCTTTTAGTAAGCTCATTATCAACTAGCATTATTTCTTGAGGCTTATAAATAGCAAATGCAGACCAAGAAATCTGCAGGTGACCTGAGCCATGGAACCATACAACTAGATGAAGAACACTAAAATATATCAGTCTTTCCATTTTAAAACAAGTTCCAAATGTCATGCTTTTAGTATTGAGCCGAGACTAACCCTCCTACATTCTTGATCTGCTCAGGGTGACAGACAGAAGGAAAGCTTCAGTCATAGTCAGCTGTGTCACATCCAAATCCAGTCCCAGAAGACCTCTAATTTCTATACTACTTTCCAGAGTAAACGGCAAGTATCCGTGGTCTTTTCAGTTTACAGTGGTTGCCAAAATTTTTAGTCTGCATTAACTATGAAACTTTGTGTTAAAGAAAATGTTTCAAAAAGTCAGAGTATTCCCCCTACTGAAAATAACCCAACACGTATACAGAGGTGATGCTCCTTGTAACCAAAACAATGATGGCAAATTAAGTCTATTAAATAGGATGCACCTCAACATCGCTCTTTACCTGAACCTGCTGTGGCTGTTGAACCTGGATCTGCTGTTCTTGCTGGGTTTGTGGCTGAACACTGGTGGTAACTGGACAGGCAAGTTCAAGCAAAGACCCGGCCACTTCGGTGCTGTCTGTGTAAATGCAGTTCCCACCCTGTTGGTATACCATGGTAGTGGTAGCCGTCTGCTGGAACTCCTGAAGGGCTTCTGGCCCCTTAGAGGCTAGTGAGTCCAGAAATTCTTTCATCCTGTGTTGTGGGACAGACCGCGCCTTCACTCGGATATACTCTTCAAAGGAGATGGTGTTCTCCAGAGAATTATTCATATTGTAGAGTCCTTAGGGTTCCTATTAATAAAAATAAATGGCCATAAGTCAAAACTATGCTATTGTTTTTATATCCTGAAGTGCACAGGCCAATCACGTGTGTATCAGAGTGGAATAGTCCGCACAGCTGTATACATCTGGAATCCAAAGTAAAGTTTTATTATACCACCTTATTTTTTTCAGTTAATGATATCTGAAAATTGTTTCCACAAACATTTCTTAATCAAACTATCACACTGAAGACAAAAACAAAAGCATGCGCCACAGTACTGGATGAAACAGGCCAAAACCACACTCTCCACCCAGCGGTAGGCCAATCCCATCTTTTCTGCAGAGCCAAACACCAGACAATAAGTCACATGCAAAACTGCTCTGTGACCATCAGAGAGACTACTGGGGAAGCTAGGAGCAGGGATTTCTACTGACATGGTCTATTTCCACTGCCAACTAATGTCCTACAGTGAGGGGACAGTATACCACCTAGCTATGGCAAGACCCAAGAGATAGGGGATGTGTTCTTTACCTCTCACCTCTCATTAGAAGTACCCAAAATTCCATTTTGCCATATACTGCTCATATTCTTTTGTAACACAGCTTACTGATTAAAAGCATGAATTCTGGAGCCAGACTGCCTACATTCAAATCCTACCTCGATCTCTCCTTAACTACATAATCCTGGACAAGTCAGTTACCTGTTTTCTTATCTATAAAATGGGGGTAAAATAGTATTTACCTAAAAAGTTGACATGAGGATTAAATATATATAAAGCACTCAGAAAAGTATCTGACACAGAGAGGGCTACATAAGTATTAACTATTAAAATAAGTGGGGGAAGGAAGTGAATAATAGAAACCAATTCTACAAGTTTCCATCAGGGTATTTACCTTGAGAGTGAATCTGCAGGGATGGGTATTAACTCTCAATGGCCTGAAAGACAACCATGCAATCTTTCTGGAAAATTGCGTGCCCTGCTGCTGCTTTCACACTGTGCTTTCTTGATCAGTACCACCTCCAGAACAAAAGCAGCAGCAGGATATGAGAATAACACAAACCAAGTGAACCTTTTTGCCAAAAGGACTCTCAATCTCAAGTGTCTGGAAAAATGATTTGTTTCCTTGAGCCATCAGGCTAGAAATATCAGTCTCTCTTTCACTGCCCACGTTTTGCCTTATGTTATACATATATGGTATATATCTCATCTCTTCCAACTGGCAGACAAGACTGTGTCCTAGTTCTCTCTGAATGGCTGACACACGGTAGGTGCTTTGTTACATTTGGAATTCAATATGGAACAAGGATTATGACTCTTTGCTCCTGTAATATCTATAACTTACAACCATAAGTTATGCTTTTCCCTAGTAAATGGTTAGTATATACCTTGGGGGAAAAACCCATGGGAAGAGTGAGACCGAAGAAAAAAAATGACTCTTACTGCTATTAACTGACTGACACTAGCAGTATTTCTGTGGAGTGCTGTGTAAGTACAGCATACAAATTATACTTAGGTGCTTTCAAACAGAACAGATTCAGCAATAAATCTTTTATAATGATGCACATAATACATTGTAATGTATTTTTCCACAAATAAAAAACAACACATACCTTATCCTGTCTAAATCAAAATTCCTAGGAAACCCCAAGCACAACAGAGTGCAGAAAACATCAAGTGCAGGTCAAGAAAGTGTAAGGTGAAGCTGCTGCTGATGTCCTCTTGTCTTCTCAAATTTAATTCTTGTTTGTCCCTTTGTCACCTCTATTCTGACCATCTCCCTTGCCCAGCTCTTCCTTCTCTGCTTCAGGGGCTTTCAGTTATCTTCTATGAAACTTCAAAATTGAGCTGTCAATGATGTCCATATGAGTAAGATCATCATCAAGACCAAGCACCCCATCCTTCCGTTACATATTCAGAGCAGGCCACTCCAGTGTAGGTGACCCACAAACTCACCACATCAGCACAGTGTGTGTCAAAGCTTCCCTTTGATAAGAACATCACAACTGGAATTTCCTTCTTAAGAAGGCACCTCTCATAATACACTTGACAAAGTTCACAACAGGTGACTCTAATACCTTATTACATATACTCTTCTGCTCAAAAGGGGACAGAGGAGGATGATATAAACAGCAATTAACTGGTTCTCAACCATGCTGGGGCATATTTCAGGACTTTTAACTTCCACTATAAAAGAACAGCGGAGGTCAACTGAAATTTACATTTCCCCAAATTTATTTTCTTCAAAAATTAGTTGCATTCCTATAAAATACTGAGACAGTACTGGAATTTTAAAGACTGCCTGTGCTAGAATCAGTTACTGTGTCAAAGCAATTAAAAAAAAGCATAATCAGGCAGCAAAAACTTTGCCTCAAATCTAAGAGAAGACTTCATACAAATACTGCTTGGTAAAGAAAGGCAGTCCCTAGAATCTTTCTAGTGACCTTATTTCCTCTCGCTTTTTAAAGTTTCAGTACTTCCAGAGGCTTAGCCTCATCTGAAGTCTGATATTAAGTATAAAGGAGAAATGCACCAACTTTTCTTCCTAGAAATAAGTTTTCTTCAGTTTTCAGTGTAGAATTCCACTTTTTTCTTCTGTGTGGTTTTTTTTTTGGGGGGGGGATAAAAGTAATACACCCATTTTCTAAGAAAAAATGTTCAAATACTATAGGAAGGTATAAAATGAAAAGTAAAAACAGCTAAGAATACTCTGACCTCTGGTTCTTGGTCTACCAATTTTATTTTTTACTGATTTTAGAGAGAGAAAGGAAGGGAGGAAAGGAAGGAGGAAGGGAAACCTTGATTTGTTGTTCCACTTATTTATTCATTCACTATTCTTTTTTTTTAATCCTCACCTGAGGATGGATATATACATATATACATATACATGTGTGTATATATATATTAAACTTGATTTTCGAGAGAAGAAAGGAGGCAGGGAGGAGGGAAGGAAAGAGAGAGAAACATCAATTAGTTGTTTCCCTTACCTCACCAGGCTGGGGATTGAACCCACAACCTAGGCATGTGTCCTGACTGGGAATGGGACCTGCAACCTTTTGGTGCACAGGATGATGCTCCAACCAACTGAATCACCTGGCCAGGACCATTGGTTGATTCTCGTATGTGCCTTGACTGGGGATCAAACCTGCAACCTTGGCTTATCGGGACAACACTCTAACCAAATAAACTACCTGGCCAGGGCCCCTCGACCTACAATTTTAAATAAACACTGTTCTGTCCTTCAGAAATAGTGAGATTAGGGCATTTAAATCACTTTCTTCTCACCAACTTCTGCCAGTCACATTTCTTAAAAAAAATAAAAAATCTTCATTGATTTCAGAGAGAGGAAGGGAGAGAAAGAAACATCAATGATGAGAGAGTCATCTGATCTGCTGCCTCCTGCACACCCCCAACTGGGAATGGGCCTGCAACCTGGGCCTGTGCCCTGACCAGGAATCAAACCGCTATCTCCTGGATCCCAGGTGGATGCTCAACCGCTGAGCCACGCCCGGTTGGGCTGCCAATTACATTTTAATTTTTGTCTCGATCACTTTCATAGCTTTAAACCTCTATTTGTGTACTCATTAGAGTATCTCTAGACTTCCCACTATGTAACATAAGGAAATTAAAGTTCCTTGCCCTCTATTGTTGACAGAAATTTAGCTAAGTGAGTATAATTTCTGTTTAATTAACTTTTAGTTTTAGAACATAGCATTTCATACCAAATCAAACTTAGAACTTTTTTGTAAATGAAGGTTTCAAAGATGATAAAAACTATTCTGCTCCAAACAAATCCTACCTGTCAGTACATCTAGAATGCGACCTTCAAAAATGTTACTACAAGAAACTCTAAGTATAAATTTATTCCCTGAGCAGAAGGGCAAATAAGATGGATAGTCATCTCTCAAAAAAGCTCGGAAAAAAGTATCTGCTATGAAGTCTCAAAGGTCATTCTTTAAGCTTTCATCAAAAAAGGGAAAAGACTAATAGCATGAAGTAGAAAAAAAAATCTATAAACACCTTTTGGTTAGTAGCTAGCCATGTGTTTTGAGTAGTTTAGACTCCAAAGTATAAAACCATCTGCAGTGCTGCAAGCTTAGATCCTACGGTTGGTGGAGCTTCAAGGAGAAGCCATTGCTTCCAGGTGTTTTTTCTTTCACTAAGCCCCCAGTTCTTCACCAACTCTGTACAAGTCCACAAAATCATTTGAGGATCACAGAATCAGAGCAAGCTAAAAAATATGAATAATGTATTCAGTGGAAAACTTAAAAAAATTAATGAAAAAGTCCAATTTAAAAAACATTCCAACCTGTCCATTTATACAGACTAAAACACAGACGGCTTCATTTCTTGTCCTTTCAACCGGCTCACTTGGCAGTATCTACCAGACTGACACATCCCAATAATGAAAGTACACTATATCAGCACTTAATCTGACACAAAGGAGCTGCTTAAGGGGGGAAAAAAAGGCTTTAGAAATATACTGAAATATTCTACACTAGTCAGTAAAACAAAAACAGAAAAATTAAACAAATTCTCAAAGTGGTGATGGATTCTTCCTTTGTTTTTATGTTCAGAAATAGTCCTCCCTACCATAAGAGTTGGCCATTTTTCCATCTACAATTTTTCAAATTTACAGTGTATTGTTTATACAATGCTTTGATCCATTTAAAATTAATTTTGCACAGTATAGAGTAAATGTCTTAATGTTTTTTCCGAAGACTAAACAACTTGTCCCTTTATCACTTAATGAACTATTGAAATTCCTTTACCCACTGACTTAAAGTGCTATTGTCATTATATACCAAATTCATATAAAGGAGGTCTGGTTTCTAAGCTTTTAGTGTGTAGTTCCATAGATCTTTCTATAACACAGTAGCTTTTAAAAAGCATGTTAGTACCTGGAAGAATCTTGTCAACCCCCAACCCAAAATTGGTTTACATATATATGTATGTATATATACACACACATGTATGTAAATATAAGTAAATATATATATAATGACACAGAAACAAGCTATGTGTGAAAAGGGTGCAAACACAATTTTATTTCTATATTCTAGTATCCTTTAATTATATACATAAGAAAAAGAGCTGGCAAAAATGCATCTAAATGTTAACAGTACTTTTGCCAGAGTGGTGGAATCACAGAGAATTTAAATTTCTTCTTGTTTTGTACTCTCCTCTATTTTCCATAAGTTGTATTAAAACAAAAAAACTAAAAAGTAAATTTTTTTGCACAGTGGTTATATAGCAACAACAGACAAACAAACAATTCTGGTTGATCATAGTATGATTTTTCCCCCTTAAAATCTCAAACTGAAAGACAAAACCATCAAGCACCAGAAGCTTGCATAATAACAAAGATTGTTAAGTACTTCAAGATGCTGTTCACAAGACACAAGGCTGAGCCTTGATAATAGAGAAACTCAATGAATCTACTCTCTATAAACCCCAAAGAAACAAGATTCTTAATTAGCTCCAAGTCAAAGACTTAGCGAGGAGCAGTAATTAATGAAAATACTTACAAAAAGCCCTGGCTGGGTGGCTTGGTTGGAGCATCGTCCAGTACACCAAAAGGTTGTGGGTTCGATTCCGGTCAGGGCACATGGCTAGGCTGCAGGTTCAATCCTCGATCCTCTAGTCGGGGCTTGTGTATGGGAGGCAACTGATTTTACAAAGGTGTTTCTCTCTCTCAAATCAATAAACATATCCTCAGAGTGAGGACTAAAAAACCCCCAAAATAACCCACTAAAAAAAACTTACCACTCTGGGGCTCAAAGGAGTGGGGGGAGTCTGTAAACAATCATTTGCTTCTGAATACTTTAAGAATAGCTGCTTTGCAAAACAATAAACAGACAAACCAGTCCAACAACAGACCCAAGAAATTTGCTCTTGTATGCATACCTTGATCACCAGTATTTCCCCAGTACTTCCTTCTATTGGAGTTTACCATGGTGCCTGACACAGCAGGCCCTCATATATGAATGTTATCATTATTTTATTACTTTATCACTAGAACACAAGATGGTACCATGGACAAAGGTTACTCCAAAGCAGCAATATGTTACATTTCTATTGGTCTGTTTGCCAATTTCTTTCTTTTTTCTATTTAAATACTAAAGGAAGACCTAAGTACTCACCAGAATCATCCTTTCTTGGGTCCCATCAAATATGATAAGAGGTATCATCAAATATGATACCTCTTCCTGATTCCTCACTGGGCTATTCATCTGCCCCATGCTTTTACCAGAGGAGTCCCTGATTTAGGGGCATTTTCACTGTGGTTCTATTTTTGGACAACACACTTTCTCAACCAGGAACTTAAGTTACATTCCTACCAAAGATTGATGGGCTGTAAATTAGCACAACCATTTGCAGTATCTAGTAAAGTTGAAAATATCCATCCCATATGACCCAGCAATTCTATAGCCCCAAACTGGAAGGAATCTAGATGTCTATCAATAGTAGAATGGATAAATAATGAATACAGCTGCACACAATGTGAATGAATTTCACAAACACAATGCTAAAGCAAACAAAACTCTGCTGTCCAGGAATATAACGTGGCAAAAGTAAAATTAAAAGGAAAACAAAGAACATGATTATCACATAAGTGAGAAAAGTAACTGTCTCTAGGGGTTGGGAAGCTGTGATCAGGAAGGCACACATGAAAGGTTTAGTTCAGGGGTGCTGAGATTGCTCTTTTTCTTGAAGAGGTGGTAGTTATACAGTGGTCCACTTTATAATTTTTCACTAAAATGTATCAGACCATCTGAATTTATATAGAGATATTTCACGAATTTTTAGAAAGAAAAAAGCTTTCTGACACAGCCCACCAGCTCTACCTATGGTTTTGCCCTTGCCTAAAGTGTGAACTCAAAAGACAATTCTTTCCCCCTTTCAGCAAAGCAAGAGGTTGGTTAATCTATCATGTCTTCATGCAGCCACAATCAGAAATCACAATCCAGTATGACACTTAAGAAAAAAATAAATGAAATATTTAAGTGAAAGCTGGAGAGGACTTAAGACATTTGGAACAAATGTGGGGCAACTAAATACAAAGTAACAGAAAAGAACAGGTGTGTTCATGGACACCTCAATCTGTGGCTGAGTAATAAAAAAACCTTTGCAGATAAAGGGTGACCATTTAAAAAGTAGACAAGCAAGAAGCACGGCACATCAAGGACAACTCACAACTGATTAAGTTAAAAGAAGGCATGCAGGCTTGAAAGAAGACATCCCGGATTCTGAAGCTGTCATATGGAGGACAGCCACACAGAGCCACTGACTTTGGTTACCTTTTTGGAGTAACTCAAATTTACAAGAAACTTCAACCACTATTTGATCTTTTGTTTGAAATGACAACATAAGCTGAAAGGGGATGTGGAAAAGCAGAGGTTCATGGAGAGGTACACAAATTACTCAGAGGACTGGAAGCAGGACATCTTAAGTTAATGAGCTTACAAAAAAACATTATCTACAAACACCAATTTAAAAGGTTTATCTCAAACTTAATAGCTAAAAGGCAAAGATATTTCAGAACAAGCAGGTATGAAAGATATATTAAAAATTTGAGTGTATCCTAGGTAAACTTGACTGATTTAGTATGAACCATTTAGGTCCTTAGGAAAGCTGAAGCCTCATCATGTTAACAGCCTAAAAGGTTGCACTGACTTACATTTTAAGAGGAGAAAAGCAGCAAACTGTGGCTGGATTCAAAGATGCAGTTCTCCCACAGCTTCAATTTTCCAGTACCTAGTAAGTTCTGGCAGACAGCACCCAGAATGATTGGCAGGACTTGTAATGTTTCAGTATTACCAGGAAAAAACTGCACACATATTCCCAGCATATGAACGATTTTAACTCACCAGTCACCATGTTGCATGTATTTCTGCTGCTTGTCCTGAGTTCTTAAGACTTGTAACATTCTGAAGAAGATAGAACAAAGAAGTTCCTTCCATCCCCAGCCTCTTTTGAAATTTTAACTTTGTTCTTAAGTTAATACAGTATATTAGAAAGAACTACCCCCACCACTACCAAATTTGATTTCTAATTTTTTCTTAGCTTCTTTTTCCTTAAACTTAGTGAAGCAAGACTGTAAAACATAAACTAGAGGATGTTTTGTCTCCCCTGGTACCAGAACACAGTACCAGGGTCTTAAAAAAAAGGGCTGAAAAGGATTGAAATCTGTATCAAAAGTGACTCTTGCAATGATGCATGGAGAGGTTTGAGGAATTTCTTCTGCCGGGAATTTCTGAACTACAAAAAAAGGGAAAGCACTGATTCTCAGGTGGTTCAATTTTGTCCTGGGCAACTTTTTGACTGTGCTATGGTGGACCTGCAGCCTAAGAGAGCACCAGTCCCTCCAATTCACAAAGGAGGCTGCATTTAAGAATTTAATTAAAGTGGCATTATAGAGCTTGGGTAGTTTCACTTTATGCACACAAGAGGATCCCCTTCCGGAGCGCACAGAGGTGACGTGTATGAATTGCGCTTATGGAGGAATTACTTTCTGATGACATGAAAGCAGGTACCGCTGAAGGGAGGGCCTTCCAGGATTAACCTTCCCTCCGCTGCACAAAGGAGCAGAGCAAGGACAGGAAACTCGAGGGGGCTCGCAGCACTCACAGACCAACAAGACTAAGTTTCAGAAGCAGGGTAGCACTCTTTCCAAGCACCGACCCCGCACAGGGGCCTCGGGTCACCGCATTCTTCGAGAACGAGCAACCTCGCCCGCCTCGCAGAGAAGTGGGGCCGCTAGTCGGACCGCAAAGACAGTTCGTTTCTCCCGAGCGGTCCGAGGACGTCACCAGAGCAGGAAGGGCCCAACCCGCAACCTTCCTCACACTGCCAGCCTCCCGCCCGCCACCTCCCCGCGCAGCAGGGGTGTCCTGCGCGCCCTCGCGGAGGCGCCTCCACCCAACAGCAGGGCGCGCGCCCCAAAGCCCGGGTTCGCGGGCGAGCACGCGCCCCAGGAAGCCACTCCTGCCCACCGGCCGCAGCTCCAGGAACCGAGATATCCGGGACGAGAACGCGCACGTCGGCGGCCACGCGCACCTGGAGAGCCGCACAGCGCGCGCGCTCCCGCGCATATAAACAGGCCCAGCTGCGCGCGAGCACCAGCGCGCGTTCGCGCGCCGCGCCCACCCGAACCCCCACCCTCTCCTCCCCCACCCTAGGGGCGGGGGCGCGCGAGCCCAGGGACATTCTCCGCTCCGGAACCGCCCCAAGGTCTCCTGGGCCCAGTGGCAGCGGCCCTGCCGC